TTGCCATTTTAGCTCCTATTTAGGGGTAAGACCTTAATGCTCTGCAAAGATGGAGCGGGCCTTTATATAGGAAACACAGTTCTGGGTCCATGTGATTTGGACAAAAGAGACTGTTTTGCTCAGTAAAACAAATGAGTAGTTCTTTTATCATCAACATTTTTTCATGGTAAACTATTGTTGATATCTTTTGTTTACTGGGTAGCAAGTTAATTGTTAGTATCAATAACTACTGAGAATGTGGGCAATATTGTCATTATGTCACCAAGGGTCTGGTGTTCAAGAGAAAATGCTGGTATTGCTGCCAGGGGATTGTTTTCTGGCTTTTACTGTTAATCGCTCATTGTTCTCTAATCCTACAAGACAAAGACTTTAGAGCTCCCCTGACATTCACAGTATACCTGAGCGGCATGGAGGGTAGTAGAGGATAGCTGGGAGAAGCCTTCCAGTGCCCAGATGAGAGGTCTGCTGTTGTTGTGTTTTGTTTCCTTTTGTTTCTTGAAATTACTGTCACTTGGATATTTATATGGTGCATCTTCAGTCTTTTGTGGAACTGTAGTCTTGTATTAACACTTTGGCTATGTTCTGACTGCCAACATATTTTGTCCAACAGTTGCTCCCTCAAAATGGCCACGCTTCTCCAGATTATCATACCAAAGTTATCAGAGCAAGGGAAAGCGCAGATAGAGCACTAAGCCAGTCACTTATATATGGCTGTTTTAAGTTATTTTTAAAAAGTAATGTTAATTTAAATGTCCAGTATTTTCTTAGGTGTATGCATTACAAATATAACATATGGAATACCTCACATGAATCAAAAGCCATCTCTGTGCAAAGCTTTGGGCCCACTAATGGTCCTGGAGCTAGACAAATTAGTACTGTCACTTATGAGGAATAAATGCCCTTCTTTAAGCATGCTGTACAAGTGACTACTCTACTTCTAGTCAGTAGACTGCTTATGGCTTAACGTAGTCCTTGGTATAAGAATTCCAAAATAGTTTCCACACTTGCCTTGATCAGTTCCAGATTAATGTCCTTGCCTCAAAATATAAACTGAGTACTTGTAAATGAGAATGCAATCCCCTGAGGAGCAGCTGGGGACAGGCATGAGGTGCTGGATGTGGGAGGAAAACATTTTCCTTCTTACACAGGAGGATCTAACAGCACACTTCCATCACTGTTGGTGCAACCTTTGAGAATCATTGTTGTAATATGATGCTGTGTATCCCCTGGTGATATTATATGTGGAGGGTGCTCAACTATAATGATGGGCAGCAGTGTAAAACTAACATAGAGGTAAAAGCAGAGGCAGATTAAGACTTTTTGGGGCCCAGGGCAAGAAAAAGATTGGAGACACTCATGAGCAGGAGGACCCCCCCGGAGATGGATTTAAAAACCCTTAGCCGCCTTCCCTTCCTAGTCCTGCAGCTGTAGAGGTGTGTGACCCAGTTTTTACTCACTCACTGGCAGCTTACAGTGAGCAATATAAAGTAAATGAGAAGAGGACTTATTTGTACACTGGGAAATATGCAATATGCAAATAAATATGTGTAACCCTGGCAGCGGTGCTACCCACAGTCATGTCCAAATTTTTGGGATCCTGGGGTGCCAATAGGTCTTGGTCTACTCCTGCTCCATCTACAGCAGGGGCAGGCAATTATTTGTGGCAGAGGGCTGCTTACTGAGTTTTGGAAAGCCATCAAGGGCCACATGACAGGCAGCCCACGGCAGATTACTATTAAATTTTCTACATTTTTTACGGGCCCTGCAGGCTAGATAGAATGGCCTGGTGGGCCGCATCTGGCCCCCGGGCCACATTTTGCCTACCCCTGGTCTACAGGCTGGGAGCACCACTCATTGGAGTGCTCTCCTGTGGTCCTCCCTGCACCAGACCACACACTAAATAACTATTTACAATAATTTATTATTTCAATAATAACTGAGAGATTGACAAATTTGACATCCCATAAATAACAAACAAAATATTTTCAATTACCTCAATAATAATCTATACCAGCAGATAATTGCTTTTGTTATATGATAAGTATTTGCTTTATGTTACCAACTTTAACGCTCAGGCAACTTATAACAGGTATATGCACTTAATCAGCCAGGTCTCCACAAAACCACTCTGCCTGCAGCAAAGTAGCCCACTGGGGAGTGGCTGCAGGGGAGCCCCAGGGAGCAGCACTCGCTCTGCCTCGGAAGAGGGGCGACGATGCCGTCATCTGGACAGGAGACGGGGGTGCCTGTCAGGACCTCGGGTGTGGCTGCTGTGGAAACCAGGGTTTCTTCCCTTGGCCAGTCTTTGCTGGGCACCTGCAATCAGTCGCACCATTCCCCAGACACTTCCCAAGGCAGCTCCCCTGTGTTTGGCACCTGGACTGCCCCTTCTCAGCTGTACTTTATTGAACTTTGCTGGAGCTTCCACAGCCACAATTCCCTGCTGCTTTCTCCAGCTCTCCCAGAAAGCCTCCTCTAGCAACCCCATCCCCGATTCCCTCCCAGTGACTCCCTGCACCCAGGGAGCTTAAGAGCGGGGAGGGGATCCCGTTTGCACAACCCCTGCTCCTTCAGTAAAGGATACCGGGCAATCCTGGGTACTCCTTAGCTGGTGGCTCCTCTGCCCTCAGTAGCAGCTCGCTCAGTCACGAGTCTTCTGCCAGTCGTCCCCTCGGAAGCAATTGTCCTAGTAGCAGCCCTTCTCCGCACAGCGTCAGCTCCCCTCCCCCCAGCTGGTCTCCATGAGCCTGAAGTTTGTTCCTTATTCCCAGTTCCTTTTTCAAAGCTAATCTAGACCCAATAAAAACATGTTATTAATGAATTACACATCCAAAAGAGAGAGAATTTCATTAGCTGTGCATATGTACTGATTAATATGTAAAATAATATCCCACATCAAGTACAGAGCCCTAAATGAAGGTCAGATTAGAATGGGATTATGGGGCAAAATACTTCTTAGGCCACCCCAAATTTTGTGGTGATGTCACTGGGGGACTGTCCCAAAGTACCCTGACCATAGTCCTTCCTGGCCCAAAGTACAGTTTGGCCATGCCAGGCTGCCAACTAACAGCCCCCATGCCCACTATACTAAGTATAATAGTTTGAATAAGGAACTGGCTTTCGGGCTGGGATTATGGCTAGAAATTCTGCTTGGGCCACCCATCAGAATAGCTCTGTGCCACCAGGGCACTCTCCTGGACACCTCTGAATAGACACTTGCTTGGTCCAAAACACAGTTTGGCCATGCCAGGCTGCCAAGAGACAGCACCCCAGCCACTGTGCTAAGTATGTTGACCTGAATAAGGAGCTGGAATTTGGGATGGGATGATAGCTAGAAATCCTTCTTGGCCACCCCAGACCACACCTCTGTGCAACCGGAGGACTCTCCTGGACATCTCTGATGAGAGAATTGCCCAGCCCAAAATATAGTTTGGCCATGCCAGGCTGCCAACTGACTGCACCCCAGCCACTGTGCTAAGTATATGGAACCGAATAAGGAACTGGATTTTGGGCTGGGATTATACCTAGAAATCCTACTTGGGCCACCCCATGCCATGCCTCTGTGGCACAGGGGGTCTCTGCTGGACATCACTGACCAGACACTTGCTTGGCCCAAAACGCGGTTTGGCTATGCCAGGCTGCCAACTGACTGCACCCCAGCCACTGTGCTAAGCACACGGACCCAAATAAGAACCTGGATTTTGGGCTGGGATTGCAGCTAGAAGTCCTTCTTAGGCCACCCCATGTCATGCCTCTGTGGCACTGGGGGACTATCCTGGACATCTCTGACCAGAGACTTACCTGGCTGAAAGCACGGTTTGGCCTTGCCAGGCTGCCAACTGACAGCTCCCCATTACCACTGTACTCAGTGCATAGGCTTGAATAAGGAATTGGCTTTTGAGCTGGGATTATAGCTAGAAATCCTTTTTGGGCCACCCCATGGCACACCTCTGTGCCACCAAGGAACTCGCCTGGACCCCTCTTACCATGGTCTTGCGTGGTCCAAACAGCACATTTGCCATGCCAGGCACCAATTTACTCCCCAGCCCCACGTGCTATTTACATTGCTGCCAATAAGCAGTTGCCCTTCTCCTGGGAGCAGTTGGCAAAACACTTATGGAATCATCCCAGAACATGTCCCCACTGCCAAGGGAACCTCCTGAAGAAATCTGGGCATTTCTCTGTTCCATGCAATGCTTGCTTTTTGAGTATAACCCTGCCAGCTGTCACCCAACCTTTAAGACCTCTATGTTGCTGTTCCACCATGCACTGGATGGCAGGAGAAATGGCTGCATGCAAATATAGAGCATCTAAATACATGATAGACCTCTGTTCTGTTGCATGTTATTTAGCACGTGTCAGAGCAGACTTGATTAATCAAGTCTGCTGCCAGTCTGCTGAAGCATGCTAATTAGTGCACTCCACCAGCTTCTGCATCATGTGTGTTCACTGTCCCCAGCTTTCAAAATGGCAGTGGCAATGCTTTAACTAAAGCTCTTTGAACAAGTTTTGTTAAAGCATCCCCGCCACCATTTTGAAGCATGGGATACTGAATACATGTGACACTGTGGGCGCTTTAATTAGAGTGGCTCTCAGAGCCATTCTAAGTAAAGCACCCTTCTTTCCCTACCCCAGAGCATGTGTATAGAGACCCCTAGGGATTTTTCAACAGCTTTTCACATTTACCTCCAGCCACCACCCAGAAACTTGGTAAAGTAATTTAAAACAGGGTGTTGTAATTTAAAGCAACCTGTACACCCACTAGCAAATGTTAAATTAAAACAAACTTATTACAAGGAAAAAGGGGAACAGTGGTACTCCCTAAGCAAAACCTTAACTATTAACCTTTAACTGGAGCTCAAAATTGATCACAGTCACAGTACAGTGTTCTTAATTCCCTGCGAATGAGTTTTTGGTATGTATTTAAGTATCTATGTGTATCCTTGCAGCTGTCCATATTGTTTCTAAGATATTCATATAGCAGCGACATGGCTTGGTACACTTTCCTTCCTAAAAGCTATGGAGAGCTCTTCTTCAGTTGCTAGCATATCTCCACATCCGACCTTTCTGAATTCTAAAAGTCCATCATAGTACCGCCAGCTCTCAGTATCACCAAGTTTGTGATATTGTTCACCAATATTGTATGTTACCCCAACTACTTTGTACCTGCAACAACAAAACCTTTGTTTTAGTGAACTCTGATTGATAAATTTGCATGTCTCGTGTTTTCTGTTGAACTAATCGGGACTGGTGACATATTTTAACTAGCAACATACCATCTACTTACATACAGAAGACATAAAGAAAAGATACAAGAAAGGGATTTTGGGGGCAAGGGAACAGGTACTACCATCTCTGAAAAGCCACCAAATGGCATTTGAGAAGGCATGGTTTGGTAATTTGATATATAGGTATGCATATAGGTTTATTTTATTTTACTTAATGTCATGATGGCTACATCATAATTTACATTAACAACTTACTTAATGTCACATATAGAAATCGCTGGTGGAAAGAGCCGAGGATCAAATTTTAAATTCTTTTGTGAGCCAGGTTCACTGCAAGTGTTATGAGTAAGATGTATGGTTTTTCATTAATGAACTGATGTTTACTCAATTTCTGTGTTCCACTGCACTTGTTACCTTTGACCCTGAAATGTTAAAATAAGTAAAGTTTTTTCTATTTGCTAGAAAACCTGATTATAGTAATTGTTGCAAAACTTACCTGTGATCCATTGTGACATCTCTATTTGAGCAGTTCTACTAGTCTTTAGTATAAGAACTGATGTCTTTAGAAGGAGGTAATATTTACCAAATACCTGTTGTTAATTCTTGCTTAAGTTGGTACTGTGAGGAAGAGACTTGCATTAAGGGTGTAGCTGCACCAGTAAAATATTTTCACACGTGTGTGTTTCAAGGCTGGACGGCATTATTATGTCATCTTTTCTGAACCCTTCTATAACCCTATATCATTTTCAAACATGAATACAGGGTTTTGCATAAACCCTATGGGCACAGCTTTCTTGACTGCTTGGCACTTCAGAAAACCACAATGGAAAGAAGAGGAACAAATAAATTTACATTCCATATATTCCATATAGTCTTCCATAAATCCTATCTACAGGCTACAGACACATTGTAACTGATCAGTATACTGGGCACGGAGTGATAGCACTAGTTTCTACTGTAGTCATGCCCTGATGCATCTTTGCCAGATTTAGCATTACACCTCAGAGTATTAACACTGAGTGACTTTTCATCTGTATGGAAGGAAAACATGCTGTGGGGAGTGACAAAAACTGGCATAGACTTATTGCTCAGGTGAGGATTGTAGGGAAACAATGGAAGAAAATTGTATATTTAGTTTTAGGGTTACAACAAAGAAATATACACAGATTTCAGAATGATATACAATTGGAAGGCTACTGAGCTCTGGTGATAACTACAGCCAGCCCAAAGTTTTCAGACTACAGAAAGTGTCTAGCTCACCTTAAATCCCAATATGGACAGGAGTGCTCGTTACTACTACTGTGTTGTAGCCACACACTGTTTACTATAAGGTGGGCCACTGAATAGCACATGTGAGGACTGTATATGCTCATGGTCTTTCCTCCACAAAAAGAAAACACCACGTCCTGCCATCAGTATGGATGCAAATGTGACAAGCCCACTGGCATTCTTCCTTAGATATATGATAGAATAAGCAGGACATTTCTATACATGCATTTAAGCACACCTAAATTTAATGCATGTTAGGCAGGTTTAGGCAAGCGTCTACATGTGTAGGCATTAAAGCGCATTGACACTGTCAGTGAACTGACTTGGGACTAAAGGTAGCCCCAAGTCAGTCCATATACACAGCGTTAATGTGCTTTAACATGTCTACATGTGTGTTAATGTGCTTTAACTAAATGGAGCTACATTTGAAACCTGCATTTGCAGGTATCAAATTTAGGCATGATGGACACTTGTACACATACATGCAATGCAGCACTGGGTGCATTTAAAACTGCCTGACGCTGCATTGGATGTATTTGCATACATGGTGAAATGCGAATCAGTGCTGTGAAAATGGCAGTGATTTGCTTTTGAACTAAAATACATTGAAGGTATAATTTTTTACAATTCAATAGAATAATAGCTGTTCAGAGGATAAGTCTTATTCTCTGAATCATTATTTTCTGAACTGCATGATGGAACCAGTTAAACAAAAGGAGAATTTTTAGATTGATTTCTGTTTCTGATCGGTCACAGTTTTCTGGTCAAAGGATGGAATGGTTTGAGAGATCTGCTGGGTTTGTATACATTTCTTTACCTCTTTTATTGTTTCCTTGCATTGTGTGTCAAGTCATGAGGTACTGAAAATTATGCAGAGCTGTTGTGCTTTTGGGTGTGTTAAATAGACAGTCTCCCCTCCATAAATGGTAGGTGTGATTGCTGCATGGAGTGGCTTGCAAAGGTAAAAGCAGGGAGAACACAAGCAAGCAAGTCCCTGGCAGACTTGTAGAGAGGCTAAAGCCTGGGTTGCTCTCTATTCCCTACTACAGATATCTATCCCATACCAGATTAGCACCAGAACAGGTCTGCCTGCCTGTGCTGCAGTGACGTTTTTGGGTTTCTATGTAGACTTAGCCAATGAGGAGACTGTTTGGAATACTTTGTTCTAACCCTTGTTCGGGGCAATGGGGATTCTGTACATTTGGTAAACAAACTGGACCATAAAGTTACCCCAACTGCACAGGGACCACTGGAAAATGTTTCCATGCCCCCAAATGTTGGCTACCTCTTGGTCAAGCAGGCCCTAATGTTAACTTTTTTTTGAATTGTTAACCAAATAGCTCACAATTTCACTTAAGAATCTGAATATCCATTGAGAAATGTGACAGAGACAGGAGTGTAGTAATTGAATGGCCAGAGAATGGAGGCACTCAATAATGCAGAGATACTGCTACTGAACTCAATGCAGGCTATGATGGACCTTCTACAAAGGCACCCATGCAGGGTAGCAGCTTCTCAGGCCATGCTATACCAGTCAATGGCCCATGAGCTGGAGTTGGAGAACTGAGAGTAAGCCATGGATCTCAAGGCTGACAGGGTTCTGTGGATCAACCTATAGAGCAACTATTGCAAGGTATGGCTCACGCGAGCAGCTCTGACTGGTGGGAGCACATTGTATTGTCGACTTGGGATGATCAACTGTTGGAACACATTTGTGCACATAGTCTTGCTGCTGTTGCTGCACATTGAGTACCAGGACACTGTCATGTGTCACCCCATCACACCAGAAAAGAGGGTGGCCATGGCCATCATGAAACTGGCCACCCCCACCAACCTCTGCTTCATCAGGAACCAGTTTGCCATGGCTCCCTGCATGACTGACTGGCAATGCCAGCTGCTGCAGGTCATCATGGCAAACAGCTTCATCTGCCTCCATAACCCCAGGTAAGTTGTTGAAGGCTTCAAGGCAATGTGGTTCCCTAATGGCATGGGTGTATTGGACAGCACACACATCCCGGTCCTATCCCCATCCCAGGGGAGCTGGTTATTCACCAACAGGAAGGCATTTGCTTCAGTGATCCTTCAGGCTATAGTTGATCACCAAGGATGTATAAATGAACATTTATACAGTCTGGGCAAGCAGCACACATAATGTGTGTCTTTTGAAACTTGCCACCGCCTGGCATGATGGAGAAAGGACAGTAAGTGCGCAGGGTCCCTGATGCAGTGATCCAGAGTGTTGCCGTGCCCTTGCTTATCATAGCAGATGTGGATTACCCTCTCCTGCCCTGGCTCATGCATGAAGCCATATGGAGGACAAGTTACTGACTGGCAAAAGATGGTATTCACCTACTGCCTCAGCAAATACCGGATGGCTGTTGAATGAGTCTTTGGCCACTTGAAAGCATGGTGGAAGTCACCGAACTACAGGCTCAAGGTGGAGCCAGAAAACATTACAGAGTTCATTGTGGCAGCCTGCATGCTCCACAGTATTTGCGAGACCAGGGGTGAGGTATTCAGTGAGTCCTGGTCTGAGAAAGTGAGGAAGGCAGTGGCCAGACAGAGATATAGGCAGGCAGGGCATGGTGCCCCCTAAAATAAGCATGAAAATGCTGGTCAGGGAGCCATTGTGTGAAATTGCCTGGCTGCACACATTCTGTTTGCTGGAGATGGAGAGCGTGCTCTGTAGGCCACAAATTGATCAGTGCTGAATGCTAAACTATTCAGCAGTTACCATTGAGTGTTTCTATAAAAAAAATAAAAAAATTCATTGCAACACTTCTGTCTGTCTCATAAGTACATTGTCTCGGGGGAGGGGGGAAGCGCAGGCTGTGCTGATGGTGGGGGAGGCATGGGGGAGCTGGAGAGGACTAAAGTCGACAGGTTTTTGTTTGCTTTGTGTGTATGGGGAATGAAATGTGGCACGGACATTAAAATGCATTACCTACCGCTGCTCACATTTTAACTCAACACCCAATAGGACATGAAGAAATAAGAAATTCCTTGGGGTCCTTATTTGCATGCATATTATAAGCACTCGGAGAATTTCAGCGCCCTGTTTGAAGAGGGGGAAGTGATAATGAAGCAGCTTTCTGGTCCTGCCTCCCAGCGGGGGGTGGGTGCAGGTTATATCCAGTCAGAAGGCCAGCGTCTCCTGTTAGCCTGGGGCGGGGGGGAGCTTGGATGTTTGGTATGTGGATTTGAATGTGGTGGGCAGAGTGGAGGCTGAGACACCCTCCGAGGAAACTGGGACTTGAAGGGCTACAAGAACAGAGACCTGAACAGAGATGTAGTGAACAGTTTCTGGGGCGGGAAGGAAAACATTGAATGAAACAATGGCCCCCAACAGTGCAAGAAAGTGGGTGCGGAAAGGGGGGGGTTCCAGGTGTCTTCTGGGATTGGGACCCCAGGTGAGATAATGCAGGGAGCAAATTATTGGAGTTCCAATTAGCGCACCACAGCACTCCAATATCCGCGTGAAGATATATATAAGAAACTCATGGGGTGCAAATTCATGCGCATATTATATAGCGCTCAGGGAATTTTAGTGTCCTGTTCATAGGAGTGGTTGAGTGAAATAAAGAAAAAACAAGTGGATTTACACACGAAATAACGTTTACTTGATGACATAGAAATAGGAAAATAAAAAATAAGAATAAAAATAAAGACAGGAAGGAAAAGAATATGAATAAAATAATAAAATTTAAAAAATATTGGTGTAAAAACAATTCAAAACGTTTTTAAAAATATGTGTAAAAATTTATGAAATTAATGAAATGGCAGCTACATTAATGAAATCGGACCACTTTTGGTCATTTGTACGTATCAGTGAGTGGTGAGCTACAGACATCGCTAATCTGTAGAGGGGATTAGCAGCATGCGGTGCCCCCTGCTGTAATTTAATATGAAAAGATCAGCGGGTAGATTGTTATGTGGCGCCGTCTGCAGTAAGTTACTGTGAATAGTGCACTGAGTATTTCCTGTGATTTAAGATCGATGGCGTGTAACCAGTGCCGGAAAAATAAAACCCATGTTTTCAATTTAGAGGGCACAGAATGCAACCCTGAAGGACTAAACCCCAGTCGCGTGTACAAGCATCCAAAGCTCCTGCTGTTCCTATAGCTAACATCATCTCTTAGTACTAAGGCAGGGCCTCACAGGTGTGTGAGGAGCACTGCTGTAGGCTCCCTCTCACTCTTTGGGTGAGCCATGAAAGGAAGGCTGAGCCTGCAATGTGA